TCACGAGGATGGATGTGGCATGTTGTACATAACATGGATTTCAAAAATCCGTTTTATGTAAATATCATAGCACGTTTCTTTGAAATCACATAATACATAAAATGGATTTCAAAAATACTTGTTATCGCAATTTTTCTTTGGAACATTATTTTTTTCACGATGAAACCGTTATCGGCACATTGTTTTTCGGAACATAGTATAAACATAATTATGTCTAGCTATATACATATATGCAATTTAATTTAGTTATACACACAGGTACTAATATATGTATATATATATATATATATATATATATATATATATATATATATATATATATATATATATATATATAGGGATGCACTCAGGTGCGAATAAGTGCCCAGGAAAGAATATGCGAACGAATCAGCGCGCGACACGTGTCCAGATCTAATAACTTAAAAAAAATGCGGTGGCATTTTCGTAAATAATTGAACATCGAAGTGCAAGTAAAATCACTTACAAGTGCACTTACTTTAACCTATAAGTGCATGTAATTTTGCATTGTAGCATTCACTTCCCGCAAACATTCATGCACCTGGGTGTGCTTATAACAATAGGTGCAACTATTTATAACTATAGGTGTAACTACTTGTAACTATAGGTGCACCTACTTTCACCTATAAGTGCATGTAATTTTCTCTTGTTAACATTCATTGATCTGAGTTCAGCGGGTAGTAATACCCCTGAAAACCACCCGCAAACATTCATGCACCTAGGTGCAACTACTTATAACTATGTGTGTGTAACTACTTAGAACTATAGGTGCAACTACTTATAACTATTTGTGCACTTAGTATTGATGCTCAGTGTAAATTTTTACTTGCACTTATAATACATTTTACATGCACTTGTAATACATTTTACATGCACTTGTAATACATTTTACTTGCACTTCGATGTTCAATTATTTACGAAAATGCAACCGCGTTTTTTTTAAAAAATCAGTGGTTCTCATCCATTAGATTTGGACATGTGGACGAACAGAATCCATTCCTATTTCGCGCTTGAGCGAAACATTCACACCTGAGTGCGATTCTATATATATATATATATATATATATATATATATATATATATATATATATATATATATATATATAATTTAACTTAGTTATATTCATATTCAATTTTTGACTTTTAACATAAATTCTTTCACTTACAGGACCATTAAATTTTATGGATGAATAAATCATAATTCAAACATGTATTAATGACTGATATAATATTGATGTATACAGTAACAAAAAAAAAAATCTTCAGTTGTAATCTTTTCAAAATACTACATCTTCATTATTTCATTATTACAATATTATAATATATACATCATTAATAATCAATCAACACAATATATAATATCATTCGTGAACCAATAATTAGTAATCTTTTTACATTATTCATTAGTCATTTGTAAATCAACACAAAATCATTATTCAATCACAACACAAATATCAACACGGAAAACAATTTTGACTTTTTGTAAACAATAACAACGCAAACAGAAAGAAAAGTGTTATGCTTTTGGATAACAAGACATATTGAAATGCATTATTCTTTATTTTGCCTCAATTCAAATTCTGTTCCCAATTGGAATTCATTTTGAATTTCCTTCCCCGCGAGGTAATGACCCACCATATATTCAAAGAATCAGAATACCTCAAACACTAAGAATCACTATTGGAAATTATGAAATTTTTGACCACCTAAAAGTGATCAACTTAAATCAAATCGAAAGTAAAAAGTGATCAAAAATAGCAATAAAGGTTTTTTCGGATACCAAAAGTGGTCGGAATAAGACTTTCGACTTGATTTAAGATCACTTTCAGGTGACGGAAATTTCATAATTTCCAGCATTGAATCAAAAAGTTTAATCATCGGGAGACATAAGTTCATCTGGAGGGCTCTCTCTCTACACATCTTTATCTTCAGACAAACAAAACATCCTCTCCAAACAAAAGTTTGAATATTTATTTAAATAATTTTATTCCAAGTATTTTATATACTGATTCGATTTTTATATTTGAGTTAATAAATTATTTATTTCTTTCTGATATTTTTTTTATATTATATCGCATTGTAGTATATTATTTCTTCTTTTAGTGGCAAAATGCTGAATTTCTTATTGTCTTAAATATAGATTTTCTGTGTTTAGTTTGAGTTTGTGAAAATTTTTCCCTATTTAACATTATTACGTTGTGCAAGTGGCATAGATCTTAAGGTCACTGATCATTATTGAATATTTTAAAAATATAATGGAAGTGCATGCTATCATTAAATAATATTGGTTTTGGTTCAATGTCATGAATAATCCGGATATAGAAAAACAAATTTAGTTCATGAACAATTCGGACTTAAAATTTTTAGTTCAGACATACATGTTATAAAAAAAATAAAAATTACACATCAAAGTCGGACTATAGTAGTCGGACTTTGATGTTTTTTTGGGGAAATATCCGACTTTGATGTCCGGAAAAAAATTATATTATATTTTATTTTTTGTTTAGAGAAATGTTTTTTTTTGTTTTTTTTTTTTTGTTAATAGAAAAAAATAAGTCCGACTTTGATGTCTAAGTAAAAAATAAATGAACAAAGTGGAATTATTAGTTTTATTGTTTTTCGGTTTTAACTATTATGATTTGTTTTGATTTTGTTTAGTGCAAATGATTATAATGATTGTTATATATTAATGGTTATGATTTGGTACAATTATGGCAAACTAACAAGTGCACCCCGAGCCACTGAATCCAAGTTTGCTAACGTTTGTGCCGCTGCTAGGGTTCGACTGTTTTGGGATATCTCTGTATAGGGCGTTATGTAGAGCTTTCGAACACGGTAAACGTACAGTTTTTTGGTGTCTTCTTCTAGTGCGGATTTGGACATGTGAGAGGCTGCCTATGATAAGGCCGAGTGGTGTTTTGCCGTGCCACGAAATCGTTGATTACCCTATTGCATATAGGTAACGATCTCTAAATTGACTGCATCAACGTTTTATCGTTCAAAGTAGTGGTATTTATTGACTTTGCAATTGTTGTAGGTGTGTTTGTCGGCACACTTGGCTAACAGTGCCTATTCACACTGTCGTAGCCTATCGCGATCAATTAGATCGTACATCGGAAGGGAGAGTACGTAATTTTACCGCTATTATGTATAGGATTATTTATAGCCTAAGAAAGATTACACCTTTGTCATTTCAATTTGAAGTATCAGATAGGAACCTTGCATTTCGCATTCTACCAGTTCAAAGCCTTGATTATCTTCTTCAAAACAATTTTAATGGTACGCTATATTTTATTTATATTTATTTTCATTACATTATTAGTCCATGTATAACCAGATGTTTAATACTAGGGTAAGACATATGTTATGTTTGTTGGTCGACAATGGGGAATATATGACAATTGGGAGAATGCAAAAGCTAAAGTGCATCGCTTTAGCGACAGTTTGTATAAATCATTTAACTCCAGAGATGAAGCCATTCAAGCTTTCAATAAATTCATAAGCAGTCAACAACATGATTTCCGAGCATGTAGTTCAACTTCCGCTTCCAGTTCCAGCTCCACCCCACCAAATACAAACAAATATTCGAATGAGGAAATCTTAACTCGTATGCAAGATGAACTCGCACATGAGAATCATGGGCATGCGATGAAAGTCGATACAAATTGAAGAATTTAAATATCTACTTTCAAAATAAGTTTACATGTATGGATCTAATGTTTATATAAATATTAGTATGAGTTCAATTCAGTCATTTAAACAAAAAAAAAAAAAAATCAATTCATTGTTTCTTTGGTAACTAAGTCTTTGGATAATTAGTTTCTAAATAAAAATTTTGTCTTTGGGTAACTAAGCATAAATTGGAAGACCCTCTGAAATATCAGTATTAAAAAAAAAAAATCTAATGCGTAAGTTTTACACCATCTCTATTTGATTCGTATCAATCTTTATTATTACAGATACTATTTGACGTGTCTTAGCCCTCTATAATGTGATTTGAGTAGTCCAACTCACTCTTCATAGGCATGTCTTTATTTGAAATACAGACTACTAAATTTAGTCATGATTACCTACTAAATCTGATGACAGCGACTCGGACTGTGCGAAAGCGACCACACTACGGCATTCTGACAAACTTGGACTCCTACAAAAATCGGACTACCCTAGTCCAAATCATTTAATTTAATTTAATTTTTTATATTATTTTTTTGTACAATTCTTTGTTTTGGGTAGTCCGGGACCAGAATACTATAAACTCTCGCGACGACAACACTTTTCTATCTCCAATATTTTTATTTCACAACACTTTATCAAATACTGAACAAACTAAGCCAATTCTTCATTTTCATCTAAAGATTATGGCAGTCGTATTTACAAATTTGTTTGTTTTTTCAGGTGGGGAAGTACTTACACTGCTGGAAGTTAGTGTTTTTCCGACCTCATTCCGACCACCAAAAAAGTTGGTCGTAAAAAGTGATTTTTTTTTTTTATTTTTTCGACGGACAGTTAGAGTGATCGGTATTTCTGATCACTATTTAAATCGTGGTCGGAAATATTTCGTCCAAATGTAATTTTTTAAATTGAAATGTTGTTGCAACCACACAAATTGTCGGAAATATTTTTTTCTACAGTTTAAATGTTTAGAAAGACATACTTTAAAAAGAAAAAAAAAAAGTCTATTAAAGACATAGTCAGCTTTTCAAAAACAAAAAGACATGGTCAACAGCATCAGATGACAGCCAACAGCCCAACACTCTCCAACACTAACCCTAGATTTCTCTTCGCGACTTCTTCGCCTTCGCCACCGCCATTCCGCCCGCCTCCGCCTCCGCCTCCGCCTCTGCCACAGCCAGTCGACAGACCGCCCAGACGCCAGGTCGCTAGTCCAGTCCGGCAGTTGCAGCAGTCAGCGCCCAGCAGCCCTCCGCCTTCACAGTCGCAGCAGTCGCACCAGGTCGCCGGTCGCCCCTCACTCTCTCAGCAGGCAGCAAAAACAGGTTGTTACATACATTTAGGGTTCTTTATTTCTTAATCTATTGTTAGGGCATTGGCCTTCACTTTGAAATAGTCCTAGGTTACATAAGAATATGTGTAGGTATCTATGTACCTAACTTCATACATCCTTCCATGATTGATTCCACTTCATCAAGTTCAATAACATATCAGTTTTCTAACACTAGAATTCATATTATTTTGTAAACTTTTTGTTTTCTTTTGAACTATTATAACCTGTACATGTTTTATATTTTGTGATATTTCTCATTTTACAGAAAATTCCTCTTGATTTTCTCAGGGGTGATAAGTTTCAAGAAGCAGCAGAGAACTATATTAAACCTCTCATGACTAAAGTATGCTTTGATTTCGGTGAATATATGCATCAGTTATTTGTATTCATGTACGCACATGATAAATTGTTTAATCTGATTGGGTATGTATTTGTGATTTTCCATGTTTTGTTTGTTAAATTGGGATGCATTGCTGTTTGGAATTAACACCATTCGTTTTTTCCTTCTGATTTTTTTTTTTTTTTTTTTTTTTTTTTGGGAAGCAGGGCTATATGGGGTTAGGATGATTCCTATGTATTCATTGGCAACTTGCAAAGGGGAGTTGACATGATTTCAATAGACAAAAGAGAATTGTTTCGAAATTACAAAGTGTACACATGCCTGCTATCCAATGGCGCTTTGATGCACACCAGTATGAGGTCGGGATGCTTGCTGGTGCTACCATCGGTGGTCAGGTATATCTCTGGACACCATCTTAAAACCACAGGTTTGCTTTCACATCTAGCACACAAATTATGTTTGGCACAATGACACATGTATGTATGCGTCTACTTTACACCTACATACTTTGATAATTCAAAAGTTTTGAATAGAAAGTTGATCATTCATGTGATTAGTGAAGATAACATTTTCTTATAATATAAAGAGTAAGAATTTCATTTAGAGGGAAATAGTGAAACACTATATATCACAGCTAATGCAGATATTTTATGGACACTGATAACTTATTTGTTTGTTTACACATAAGTTATCTCACTAGAAAGAACACCCTACTCCTGCTAGGATGCCTAAACATACCTTTTCTCTTTCCTTTTATTCTTTCTTAGAGTGGGTGTGCTTTGACTGTACAATTTTTTCCTTTTATGTGTATCTCTTATACCCTCTTTGGCTTTTCCCCTTCTTATGTTATTTTTCCTCCCTTTTATCGGAATTAAAAGGACAGGACAAAATAATCAAAAGTTTTTTTGATACCCAGCTTGCTTTAATCTTGTATAATACTGGTTTATATTTTCTCTCTTTGAAGATGGATTCTTTGAAGAGTGAGATAGAAGCTGTTCATAAAATTTTGGAAATATATTTAGCTCTAGCATTGTTCTCATTTTTTGATTGTAGTCTCAAATCCTTAAACAGCTTTTACTTGGAAATATAACATTTTTTCTTTGCAGGAATCCTTTGTTGTTTTCTCTTAATTTCAAAATTGTGTTTGTTTGCCGTCTCATTATCTGGTTCTTCTCTGCTCCTTTTGCATTTATTCTAGAAACTTTAGAGTTTTAACGTTTAGTCTTCACAGACTCTGCTGTTGGTCATACTGTTTCTGAAATGGCAATATAATCTCACTTATAACAAATAATAATTGCTCAAAGAATTTATCCGTTTTTTGGCAGGTCTTTGCAACCTAGGGCCTTTGCAGAAACCTTATGTGGTTCACCACTATACGGTGGATGCCAAACTTGCCTCCATCTTTGCTTGGACACGAGGACTTGCTCACAGGTACAACATTCTTCGATTTTCCAAGCTTACACATGTGCATAGAGTTTGTCTACTAATTGCTTTGCTCACTACATATATAACGCAGTTAACGATTGTAATATTATGCAAATAGGGCTAAGTTGGACAACAACGATAGACTCTTGGATTTCACCGAGAAGCTTGAAGCAGCTTGCATTGGTGCCGTGGAGTCTGGAAAGATGACCAAGGATCTTGCACTTATCATCCATGGGTCAAAGTGAGTGTCACCCCCACGGCCCACCTCCACCCCCTTTAGTATATCTCTTAAAAATTTTTGTAGTTAGACTTGATCAAGAACATTACCCCATTGTGTTTATAATGTTGTCTTCTTAATTATGTAGGCTTTCAAGGGACACATATCTAAACACTTGAAGAATTCATTGACGCTGTGGCAGATGAACTGAAAGCTAAACTGTTGAAAGCCAAGGCATAATTGATAAATGTATGTATACATGCTTCTTACATGCTTCTTTATTATTGATGCTGGATTCATTGGATTTGAATTGAATTACATGCTTCTTTATTATTGATGCTGGATTCATTGGATTTGAATTGAATACCAAACCCATTTCTTATTCTCACCATCCATCTGTTCTAGGCTTGGATGCAGCAATAGAAATGACATTGTATTTGACAGAGAACAGAAAACAGAAATAACACCTCGCGACAAGAGTATTGATTTCTTTTATACAAATAATCATGATCTGTTCAATTGATTTTTTTTTTTTTTTTTTTGTGTTTGCTTTCAAGTTCAAAACTAAATGTTCTTTAATCAATTTTGCAGCCATTATTATGCTATCAAAGTAAATTCTTTATTGAACTATTATCTAATCCTTTACTCATTAAAGAAACTTAATACTTTTTGTGGGTTTGCTTGCTTGTTTTCACCACCAAGTCATGTGATGGTCTGGCACAAATTTGATTCTGGTCTACATACTAATTCTTGAGAAATGAAAAACAAACTCATGATCATTATGTTCTTGATTTTTTGATAACTAATACACTACTACAGGATTCCCTCAACTGCACTTTTCATTGTGCTCTATTCACGATTCCCTCAACTTTTCATAGTGTTGGTGATAACTTTAGAGAGGATGATTGTAGTAGCTGGCTGGTTCCCGTCTGTGAATCGAAAGGCAACTGAAAAGGTTCCCAAATAATTATGTTCACTCTGTTAGTTGTGTCAGTGAAGTTAGAATTGAAAACCTTTTTATATGTCCTGGAGCACTTAGAATAAGACGGCATCAATATATATCCATAGAATCATAGATTGTATTTCAGTATGATCTTTCTAGAATTCCAGATTCAGTTTTATATAATCATGGGAATAGTTAAGATGTGTTTGAGGTTTATACTTAAGGAATAGTTTGCACTTGATTTGGCTCCTCTCTCTATATAATAGAAATGCAAATGTTAATCTTTTTTTTTTTTTTTTTTTTTTTTTTTTTTTTTACTTATTTCTGTATAAATATGTAGTATTATATGTTATAATATATGCTATATATCTTTATGGGGTATTGTTACATGGTGTTTCTAGTCCCGTGAATTGTTCAATATGCTTTATTGGAAGGATTTAGTTATGAAAACTTGCTTTAATTTATTGCTAAGGTTTTAGTCTTACTAACCTTGTCATTCCCTAATTTCTGACATAAATTTCTTCTGGTGAGATATCTGTGCGCTTGCTATTATATTTTCAGTGAACAGAGAAGAGTTATGTTGACTTCTATTTCTATCTTCAGGAAATCTTAGTTGTTTATTTTTTGTTCCAGTGCAAGGTGTTTATGTGAAGAATTTCTTTCATATAAAGGAGTTTTGAAATTGATCTTGTATATGGACATTATAGTGGATGAACTGAAGATATGAATCACCAGCAGGAAGATGATGTGATATCGTCTGGCTCTTCATCACCAGATTCAATATCATCACACTTTGGTGGAATGAGTTATCCCTCATTGTTCAGTTCCAAGCCAACTACCTATGGCCCAAAATTGTTAAAGATGTCCTGATGTTAAAGATGAAAATGGCCCAAAATCAAAGCTGATTGTGATTTTGTAGTTTTTGAGGTTAGTTCTCATCTGAATTTTGCTTAATTTTGGATATAATATTTTGATTCTTTGTTTTTCCTTTATTTAGTATGTCATTTTTTATTTCTTGTTTTGTATTAAGTAAATATTTGCTGTCTTTAGCTATTTGTCTGAATCAGTTTGATGTTAAAATTTTCATTCTTTGGATTAATTGTGTGTTTACCTTGTACTGTTAATCAGGATAAATCAAAGAAGGGAACATGTATTCTTAAAGATGGCCTGAGTGATAATTTTCAGACAATAATGATCGTCACCATATCTCTAGCAAATAGTTAGTATCACCATACTGTTAACACTTTGAAGTATGCTCACCGAACAAAGGAAATTAAGATACATTCAGGTGAGAGTCCTATCTATAGATGTCTAGGAACTTTTATAAGTAATATATTTGATACATGAGCATATGAATATGCTGCAGTTTGTGATATAGTTGCTACATGTTGAAATAAATTTCTTAGATTGAAGGAAGCTTTGTTGTAATTTTGGGTCCAGGTTCAGATCCTTCAGAATGAAAAGGAAAAAGTTTTGGAGGAATCGGTGAGAAGCCTTTGATGAGAAGTTAGCATCTGCTCTCGATGAGTGCAACGCTAAAGATGAATTAGTCACAAAGTTCCCAAACATCGCGGAAGAAGCCATTGCAGGTGATAACTTCATTTCTTTGTTTATTCATGTTGTATTGATGATTCTTTCAATTTTTTTTTCCCGTTTCTGCAAAGTCCTTCCAACTAACTTTTGTGCAATTTGTTAATTGATACAAAATTTAGCTCACAAGAAAGCGGAGGCTGAAATTATGTGTTTGAAGGAAGAGTTAGAAGAATGGAAGGCTACCTTAACAGTGCATTGAAGGATTGTATGCAGAAATGAAGGAAGAGCTGGCTGTTTATGAACCTAATATCAAATGATATCTCCTCCATATCAAGCCATGAAACGAAGAAGGAGCATCAAAGTGTTTCTACTGAAGCTTGGGCTTGTGCTTAGATATTTGAACTAGAGCATTTCAAGAATCATAAGGACCAGAAGAGTAACTCTGAACAGAAAACGATTGGAGTTTTAGAGATGAGGCTAATGGATGATTTTGTCAAAATGGAAAAACTAGCAATAGTAGCAAATATCTTAAAACAGATGATGAATGAATTCTCTTCAAGCATATGAAATGTGTATTTTATGTTTTTTTAGCAAATATCTTACCAGCTTGCAACAATATATATATTCATTTCATTAGAGATTTTTCTGTAATGAAATGAATTTTTTTTTATTGACTGCGTCCAGTTTTTCGACCACTGGTGGTCGAAAAATTTGGACCGGCCTAACTATTCTTTTGGCCATATTTTCCGACGGCCTTAGAAAAGTGGTTACTCTTTCCGACCACTCTCTCTGGTGGTTGGAAATAGCTAGGGGTATTTTTCCGGATACCCAAATTGGTCGGAAAAGAGGTCGGAACAGGCGTTTCTGACCTAATTAAGGCCATTTCTGACCACTTTTCGGTGGTCGAAAAATGGCAAATTTCCAGCAGTGTTACTACTGGGGCACCCCACAGATAGATTACTCACTTCATGCTCAAGAAGTTATTCCAATACAATCAGATATTGGAATCAATTGTGTGGAGTATATGATCAAACGAGCAATGGGAATCAACGATGAAGCCCCTATTAATCTAATGGGAAGAATGATACTGGACCCTAGAATAGGTATCACACATTATGTACTACACATCGCGCGCGAACGAGACTGGTATTACTTCGTACGACAAACATTTCCACTAGGAGACTTGCACGTATACGTAGCCATAAAAGATATTTATGATGCCGGATTGGGCATCATCAGTGCCGATCCACCAGAGGAAATTCCATCTTCATCAACCATGGTGGAAAGTGAATCAAAAACTGATGAAACTTATGAACTTGAGTCTATACCGTCCGAGAGTTTAGTAAGAACGGGTGCTGAAAACATAGATGAGTCTCTTCCATTTAACTTCGTGTCAATGGAAGAAACCGCTCAAATGAACCGATGTCGAGGTCAACGGATCCCAGATTCTTCTATCCCGTCTTACCACTCTCCAATACCACCGCTAACAACTACATTCACCTATGTCTTTACTGAGAGGGGCTGTGACGAAATGCTTTCATAGGACCCCTCAACAAATGTTATTATGGTTGGAATGGTTTTTCCGAATTTTTCAACACTTAAAAAGGTTGTAGCAACTTACAATATGCATCACAAGCGGAACTACATCACCCATCACAAGAAAAGAACAAATTGGAAGGTCTCCTTTCCACATTATAAGTCCACACTATCTTGTTTGTGGACATTATCCACAAAGATATTGCATGGGCCATCTTCTAAATGGAAGCTCACAAAGTTCTTGCAACCCCACGGGTGCACAGTTCAATACAACTAGGGACCCGCAGACAAACTATGCACCAGACATTAATATGCGATTTAATCTTTCAGAAAATCACTGCGGATCCACAATACAAAATAAAACATATCCAAGTCAATGTGAGAAAAAAATATGGTGTGGACATTTCATACATGAATGCATGGTACGCCAGACACAAATGCATTGAAATGCAGTACGGGAATTACCAACACTCGTATAATGAGCTACCCCAATTATGCCGGAAGTTACAATGAAATATGCAATTTTCATTTCAGTTTAAACTGGAATTTAAACTTAGATGAAAATGAAGAAAAATAATGAAAATGCCATAGCTATTGAAAATAAGGATGACAATCCTACCCGCACCCAATGAGTTCCCCGCATCCTCGTCCCTACGAGTTTTAAAATACTCGAACAATTTGGGTAATGGGTGCAGGTATGGGGGGAATTTTGTATACAAGTGCGGCTATGGGATGAGGTATTCCCGCCCCGCACCCCACTTATATATATATATATATATATATATATATATATATATATATATATATATATATATAAATCTATATAGGGGGCCTTCAAGTGAGAACCCTTTGTTAGGTAGGAACCATAAGAACTAATCCAAACCCTTCAAAATTGCTTAATCAATTTTTATGAGGATCTTAAACATAAATAATTAAAAGGGATATTAGTGTAATTTTGTACAACCACCAATTAAAATATAATATTATATCTAGATTCTTTCCAAGTTTTTAGGATGAAAAAATAAAGGAGTCCTGAAGTTTTGTGATTCTACATATGTCATCTTTGCGGCAGAAACTGAAGCACGCGCGGTTGCCATTGGCGTGATTTCAAAGGGAGATGCATACCACTAAATTCATCGCCGACTCCTCGTGAAGAATGACAATGGGTGACGATCATGGTAACAATTTTGTTTGCCCCACAATTCTGGGTGTTGTTGGTTTTAATAATCAGATTGAATACACCCCTGCGTAATCTTGTGTTGAAGGCTAGAATTGCATAAGAAGTGCTGCTTTGTGGAGTTGCAAGACAAAGTTAGTAGGGAATGTTCACAATCACCGTACTGTGTAATTTTTCCTACTGTGTCATTAGTAGTATGCCATTGTTACAATCTGCCATTGTTACAATCTGCCATGAACGTTGCGGCACAGACAAGATACCACAAGTGCAGATAATTATCTTTTTCATGAGACCTGAATCCATCCATACTGTTGTTTACCATCTTCTAATACACACATATGGCACACACCGTGTTACACAAGTGCACAACCATGTGTCCTGTTGTTTTGGGTCTAGCATTTATGCACACTGACCATTACATTATGGCACACAACATATCAAAAAGTTGCAGCACACTATTTTTAACACCCATCTGGTGGTCGTGTATGCATGCGTCCAGTATTTTGGTGGATAATACTGCACAGCTAGCCCATCCTAAGTGCACCCCTAACAACTAAAGGTATGTGCACAAGCGGAAATGCATGACTACGGAGAATCGATGTGAACTTGCACAAACTCCATTCTCCGTAGACGTGTTTTCTTTGTGTGCACATATGACATAACGAGTGTGCCACGATAGCCACATAAACGCTGTGTGCGTGCATCTTGAGCGGGATGTGTGTGCCACATTGCATAATCATATACGTTCAATGCTTATAGGTCATGACGGCTCATCAGGGAGATCTGGGTATGAAATGAATATTTCACTGGGCTCAACGAAGTATTGCATCCTTCTCAGGATAATCCTCCATCCAGTAGCCCCATATCGTTCATCCACCACATTTTCAGGTAACACAGACAACAAATATTTCTGTCAAAGGGCAAAGAGCAAAAGAAAACAATGCCAATTAAATTATCCAGAAAAACCAACATTCGGGGGAAACAACGGTGTATGAAAAATGGTATAGATCTTTGAGTGCACATAGGAAGATATGTGTGTGCCATAATGTCCAACCAGAGAGATAATGAAGCTGGCGTGATAGAATACAGTGTGCACCTATGTTATCTTGTGTGTGCCAACACGTGCTGAACTAATTGCTGAACAAAAAAATGAGACACAAGTTGGCAATTTAAATATAATGTCCTCGCAAGTGCACGAGTCAGTGTAGTAATAAGGTGCAAAAGCAAGAGTCGAACCCACAGGGAATTGATACTAAGCAATTTAATTACTAAACTTAAAAGAAATAATTGACTTGATAATTTAAAGTACTAGAATTGAATGCCAAAGATAATGATCAATTTAAATAGAAAATAATTGAATCAAAGCTCAGATAAGTAAACATAAAGAATTAACTAAAATCGGAATATCAAATAACAATCGTGATGGAAAAGCTTAGGAACATGAATCTAATTCCACTATTAAATTTGTACCTTAGTCTAATACAACCATTCATTAAATATCAACCATTAAAAGCAAATAAAACGAAGCTTAAATATTATAAATCAAATAAGATAGAGCTTAGCAAATATACTAGATCAACTATCATAAAGCTTAGCAAAGCATAAAGTAAATAAATCATAAAGTATAACATTCCAAGAACTAATTACAAAGTACAAAGTAAATTAATAATAAAAGAGAGTAGGAGAATGGAAGGAATATAAAATTGCTGATGCACAGAATGTAAATAACATGCCTCAAGATGGAATTGCCCCTAACAGTTAAACAAAGTATAGTTTGGATTGAAGAAGGAAAGAACCAGAATGTTGCCGAATTAAATTGCTACTGCCAAAATGAAGTTAACGCTGTCGTGCAAAATTGAATTGAAGATGTCGATAGGAGCTACTGAGAACAGAGATCGCCGCCAAATGCCGACCCTGCCGTACCGACCGGAATTGCTCCGGGGTAGATTGATGATGAACACGAACATTGGCCTCCCTTTATATAATATCTAGACCCAACGACTTCCGTTCGAGTTCTCTGCTAGACGATGCTAGACGATCGGATCTCCCCAAGAATCGATCGGCTGCAAGAATAATCGTTCTTCTTCGCGCATCGGCCGTCTCTCGTTCGTTGATTTCCAATGACGGAAGGAAGGGTGAAGATTTATTTATGGAATCCAAATGTTGGGCTGATACAATAAGTAAAATAACCTACTAACAATAATAAAAATAAAAATAATAATAGTAATAATAATAAAACACATTGAATTGAGGTTAAGAAATTATATTATCCTGATAGAATTCAAATAATAAACAAATTTAATAGAAAAAGTCCTAAAAATGAATAATACTAACAAAGTTACTTATATAACAATAATAAATAAAATAAATATAAAATTAATCAATTATTATAAATTAATTATAAAAATATTATTAAAAATAATACTAAAAATAATGTTTATCAAATCTCCCCACACTTATTTATTTGCTTATCCTCAAGCAAAAGCATAATTAAATGGGAATAAAAGAAATTAAAAACAAAATCAAACATTAAACTAAGCTTTACCCGAATAGATTTTCAAATTTATTTTCCCCTTCAATGCAAAATTAATGTCAACTCAAAGATTGTATAAAATAATTGACTAGAAATTAAAAACTTTAGCAACTAAAATAAATATAAAACTTGTGCTCGTGTGCTAATACCCCTTATATGAGCTATACAAAAACTCAATAAAATAAATACGAAAATTTCACAAAATATAACCGAACCCAAATTCGAAAACATTTTATCACAGTGCGGGTGCAAAACATGAAGGAAACAAGGATCGATGCATTTATTAAAATTAAAATGCAAATGCTCGTGTCTTTCAAAGTTCACTCATTATTTTTCTATT